AAAGTGGTTCCACATTCCTCAAAACTTCTACTCTCCTGATCAGGGACTGTTTAGCTGTAGAAGGTTCCACATAATGGCTTATGGTCAGTGAATAAAACTAATGTGGTGACTTTCTATGATGTGGCAAAAGTGAATCATTGCCAAATAAGCCACTAGGAGTTCTCTATCAAATGGAATATCTTGTTTGGGCTTGGGATAATTTCTTTGAAAATAGTCCTACCAAGTTATTATTTATCAGCTAGTGCAATGTCACACTGACTGCCTATTTACTGCTGTCATTGACTAATTGATAGTCTGTAGGTGAAGTTTGTGGGTGGCCTAATGCCTAATGCTAATATATGACAACTTTGTATTACTTATCTAAAGGATTCCATTTCTTTTTCTGTCAGCTCAAATGTTGATTTGGGGTATAACTTCATGCATTCAGATAGGTAACACAACACATAATTAAAGATTACCTTGTGATAGAAACATGTCATGCCCCAAAATTTGCACAGGTTCTTTGAATCTTCAGGAGATGGGAAAGCGTCTAATTCTTTAATCTTATTGTGAGTGGGCAATAAACCGTTCTTTACTTAAATTAAATCCCAGAAAGTCTAGACTCGATACATTAAATGTACACTTGGCCAATGAAATTTTAAAGTTATTTTCATACAGTATATTAAATACTGTATCTAAGTACTGTAGTGTCTACCCTAGAATAAATACATGTAAATATATTCATTTACATAGATTTACATTTATGTAAATGAATACACAATGTATGTTTGAAAATATCTTATTCATGTAGCACTAAAATGTAGTAGCTGCATTCATTAAACTGAATGGTATATAGTGGAATTCAAACAAACTGAATGGGGTTGTTATTGCTGTTTTACCTGTATCAGCTGAGTATACTTTTATCTAGTGATAGGCAGCAGTTAAATCTATTTTAGACAAATGGCATTTGTTCACTAATTGCACATTAAAAGAATATGTATTGAGAATTGGATAGTGGTCAGTTTGGTAATACTATTAAGGGCTCAGATATCATCACAAGCTTGATACAAACATTCCAATTTCAGTACCAATTACTACTTGAGGGATGTATTACTCCTGTATTTATGTCTCTTCTCTTGAATTCTGCTTGTGCAGTTTCTAATTTCTACCCTGAAAGCTATCTAGATGTAGCAAGCACAAGAACATGGCTCTCTGCATCTATTTTAGGGTAGACACTACAGTACTCTTTGTTTGTAATATTATGGAGTGAAATCACACTAGGTTACTTATCTATCAGTTCTATGAAACTAAGTAAATCAAACTCATTTACTACCATGTTAACTGAACTTGATGATAAATTTATCTTGTCACTCAGTAACTGTATCCTTAATGCACCTATTTCTGCAGTCTACAATTAACCAAAAATTGTTTAAGAAATCAAATCCCAATAATAGATTGGTGACATCTGCAACCACAAAGATCCATTGGAATGCTCCTCTTAAACAGTGTATCTTCACTTCTATGGTAGTTTGGCCATGGTAGCTTATTTTCTCGCCACTGGCAATAGAGATAGACATTGGTGTTGGTTTTAGATGTGTTTCAGAAGGTGGTAAAAATGGAAATACTGGCACCTCTCTGACATTTTAGTGGTGACTTCTAAAAGTGATGGATCTGATTGAATTTGTGCTGTCTGCCCAGCTAGTTTTTCTGAATCATTAGGCCTAGGAGAGGCAGGACAAGAAATTTGTAATATTTCCACATTGTGTTTGTTTCTACCAACACCATGGTTTACATGTCGGGGCCTGTTCTGTATAGTAGAGATGTGCTGTACATACATTTGGCTTTTGATTTGGATGAAAAGTTCACAGACTCACAGGTATTCTACTACGATAATTTTGCTCGGGAAGAACTATTTTGTCATTTGTTTCATTACTTGGCAGTTGTAACGTAGATGCATTATTAACTACCAAAGGCATCAGCTTGTCATATAGCTTCCCTAATTCCACTAAAGGCATCTCTGCTTGATCAGCTATAACTAGTGCTAATTTCTGAGGCAGGGCCCAATTAAACTTGTGCCTAACTTCTTTGCTCACTCATGTGTAGCTATGGTCAGCATGTTCTAGAGATAAACTGATGGACTTCTTTAAAAGTTCCAGTTTATTACTTTCATAAGCTGACAGGACAGATTGCTTTAATTGTTCATAATCTGCAAGACAGATGCAGGTAAATTCATAACTATGTCAGGTGGTAGAGTGCTTACGACTATATAAAAATTTTTATCCTCAGCTGTAACCTTTTTGAGGTTGAATTGTACTTCTATGATAATAAACCATCCCACTATGCTCATTCCCATGAGTTGGGATGGTTTAAGGCTAACCTGCAGCATTTGTATTTCTAGTGATTTTATGGTATGGTAGAATGGGAAAAATATATAGACAGAGAGAAGGCAATGACCTACCACTCATTGTTTGATGAGGTCTTCTTGGTGATGACTTGTTTTGTTAAAACTTATCTGTCTGACAAAACCTTTGATGCTGAAATTTATGTTTGTTCTTATTACTATTTTTGTGAATTTTGGTGTATCCAAAGTTTTGATGAACGTTTTTAGTATTATTTATCAGAAACTTTGGAATTATCAGAATCAATGGTATAAACAAATAATATATTTATTTATTTGACTTTGATTGGAGCAAGTCCTTTGTAATAGTGGTTGGCAAAAGTTTTCCTGGACAGTTGATAGACTTTGATAGTAGTCATTTTGTTGGCAGCTGTTGGGAGAGTGGTTACTTTGGAAATAGGTGCGGCATCAATCTGTGTTGTATTCTCAGTGGAAAAAATGTCTTAAGCAGATAAACATTAGCTGGTTTCTTTGGCTGCCTCTTCTCTACTGCTGGCTATTACTTTATATACACTTAAGAAAGAGCTCCAAAATACTTGGTGTCAAGCACCAAGTATTATCAAAAATAATACAAAATCTCCGTGGTCTACATAATATCAAGATGACTTTCAAAAGTGGTTCAACATTTTGCAGACACCTCTTCCAAGTAAGACCACCCCATCCCATATAGGAGAACATGATTAAGGACAGTGTGTATGCCATCTCATGCAGCTGTGATAAGTAATATAAAGGAGAAACAGGAAGACCGTAAAATGATAACACAAGAGGAAATAGGAAGATCAGGCATGGCTGACCACATATGGAGGGTAAAGGGAGATTACTGCCATTTGTGGGATGAGGTTGAAATGATAGATAAAGAACATCACTGGAAAATAAGAAAGCTTAAGGAATCAGTGCATATGCTAGGCAAAAACAATATTCTAAGCCGGACAAGCATAGAAATGAATACAATATGGGAACCAGTACTATACTGATGTCCTCAAGGACATATAGCCCAGTGGATAAAAGCATTGGTTAAATCCAGTGACCTGACCCAAAGAGTTGTGAGTTCAATACCTGGCTATTGCAGAGGTGAACAAAAACTTGGAGAGTTGAGTTAAAAGGAAGATAACTGATACTGAGATATCTGGAAGAAGCATGGTATGTGGAACTAGAACAGTCTACCCCGGTGGATGAAATAAAGAGTTTGTTTCACCTGAAGAAGGCTGAAACAGTCTGAGCAATGTAAATAGTGTAAATATTATTACTTTACAAATATTTAAATTATTTGTCATTGGATTGGGGTTTTGTCTTTCTAAAGTTTGTCTACTTATAGAAGCTTTCTCAGTTGACTTAACAGAAAGGCCAGTATTGATTGAATGTGTCTCTGACTATCTCTGCTTCTATAATGTCTATAATAAACCCTCATAAAAGCTGAGAAAATGGAAATGTTGGTGGATTTTAGTTTTCAGACAGGTAAAATATATTGCAAATATAACCATATTGTTAGTTCTTCATACAAATTTCAACAGAGCAAATATTTTCAGTTTCATATTTATTTTCAATCAATATTTTTATTCATTTTTATGGTCATATTGATTAAAAAATATTTCTATATTATGCATAACAATGTTTAATTACCACATTTACTTCCTAATTTCTTCCCTTGTTCAAAGAATACACTGGATGCCTGTTGTTAAAATACAAACAGGTTGGATATTTTGGTATATAAATTTTGTGTTATTGACTTGATAAAGCTGTAGTATTTGAAGAACAATTTCCAACCACTTTGACAGAAGAACTTAGGCTTGTGTACCTAGACTAAAAGTCTCTAGACTTTTATATTAACTTGGCTTCTAGGATTTCTTAATGTTTTTTTTTTATCTGAATTAGCCAAATCAATCAGTAAGCTTATTTGATATGCTATCTACTTTGTTCATTCACACACACAACATATATGTATGATGATGAGGTAAAGAACACATAGGAAATGTTTATCAATCTAACAGGTTTCACTTTTATTAAAGCTTCATCAGAGATTGAGAGAAAACAGACAAAAAGACAGAAGTTCTGGTATTTTTCAATGTGTGGTTCAATTCTTATTGGTCAGTCATGTATTGTGCATTAAAACTAGATAAATCTATATGTATGTAAGTTTGTAAAAATTCTAATTTGTCTATATGGGCATCGGATGATAATGTGCATTTGTAATTGTGTATGTGTGTCTGTTTAGTAGGAAGAGATCTGATGTTTTCATTTTTGTGTAGTCAGTATAGTGGGGTGATATTCTATTAATCTGGGAATGTTTTTATGTACCTACTGTTTGCATTAGATAGACATAAGTTAGATTCTTTTAAAATGGACTTAATAAAAGATGGCAATATAAGATAATGTTTTATGCGTTTATAGTTGGTAATATTATTATTAAGCTATCAAAGTATTTTCTCCTTAAAGAATTGTTTTTTAAAGTTAGGATGGCATTAGTAAAATCATACCTGGTTTTGTTCCTGTGTATTATGTGTGAAAGATTTTGTCCAATCAATCATAAGTCTCTTTTGTGTTTGTAGAAACATTTTTTTTTTTTTTTTAATTATGTGATGTCTCCCCTAAATAAACATATATAATATAACTTTATTTTTCTCAGAATTCTGGTCTTGGAAACATAGTTAATCCCCTAATGTCTTTAGCATCTCCAAGTGTCTACAGTATTCCCATGTTGTTGCTGGTTGGATGGAGAGGAGAACCAGGAAAAAGAGATGAGCCTCAACACAAAGTGCAAGGTCAAGCCACACCTGGACTCCTAGGTAACATATATCATTATTTACCTTAATTATTGAATGAAAGAGAATGTCACTGTATCTACATATCTTATAGTATTGGTTCCACTTTGTTCAATAAAGGGACATTTAGAGTACACTGTTAATAATTATGGTTTTGTGTTAATTTTCTAATTTCTATTTCAGGCAACATATCCTTTTTCTGTACATGTGTGGGCCATATAATTTTTATCAGCATGGAAAATGACAATAGCAGATTTCAAATTCTGACCAATACTCTTTGAAAAACCATAAATCTGTTTCACTTTCATCCTCATCCTGTTTCATCTTCATCTTCATTCTAGGGGTAAATAGTAGGGCAGACTGGAATCTCTATCTTTGATAAAGCAACCAGTCTAAGAGAAAGACATCTCTGAATTTAAAACTGTGGAGAAACCACTCTACTGTGTTTTGTCAAAAGTTCTAGCAATTCACAGATATGAAAGAAAAGGAAGTTTTAGAGAGGCATGACTGCCTACATCCTAAAGGAACATTGCATTAAAAAGTACTTTTTCTACATCAGATGTATTTTTTAAAACTTTTTTAAACTAATGATCAATTTATGTTCCAGTTTTTACTTGTTACAAATATTTAAATTCTCCAGACTGCTTTCTCAATATCTCTTTTTTCCAGTGCTTATTTGCAGCTCATTAGACAAAAATTATTTACTGTCAATCAGTAGTTGACCATTTACAGTTTCTTTCCCCAGTAAATCTTATTTCTTTGAATTCTTTTTCTTTGAATTCTTTTTCTTTTGAATTGAATGTAATTTCAGTCTTATATGATATGTATGTGGAAGAATAGATATGTACGTGGAGGAATAGATAGTGGCTTGGGATTAAAAACTGGAGAGCCAAGTTCGAATTTCAGTTGAATTTGTTACATTCACATGTGCAAATTCCCATGGGAAATGTATGAATCCATATCTTCTCCTCTCATCTATGGGTTAAAAGGCTGTGCTCTTTAGTCTTAGTTGGCAACCAGCCTAGAAGTAGAACTCTGAATTCAAAACCAGTTAGGAACAGGTCTATAGCAACTTCATCCCATAAAAAGCTACTTGCTATGGGAACCACAGTAACAACACCAAGTGTTGTTGAGAGCTGTGGTCTACAGAACTTTGGTGTTTGTGAGTGTGTTATATGATGCACAAAATGTGCCTCCATTTGTTTTACAATATTTTTTGTATTCTTGGATAAAAAGAAATGAAAAAAAATTAGCAATAACATGGATCTGTCAAGTGAATATTTTATTATTGGAAAGTTTTACACATTTCTTTCAGTACAAGAAATCTCTACGACTGTTATTATCAGTTCCTTTACTACAGTTGGTCTTAGAGGAAGGAAGTGTGAGTAAATGACACATGAGAAAGATGCTCTGAAAGTAATACTTTCTAGTTATTTCCATGGAACCTACAACAGATACAGAGAGTGCAATAACACATTTGGATAGAGCAAGTTTTCAGTTACAAAATAATATTTTTCCATAGTCACCATTATTGGCCAATAAATTTTCACCAGTAATGCAGATTTCATTATACAGCAATTATAATAACATAGTTGTCTGTGTAGTTCATCTTTCCTCAAGTCAGATAAATCAAAAGGTGCCAATTTTTGACAATACAGTGGGTATGGTAGGAAAATCCAGTGAAAATTTACAATGTGATCCATGATTGGTATAAACCCTAGCATTATTGTATTGCAAGTAAAAGGTTGTCTTTTTGTAAATATACACTGATGGTTCCTTCTCAGTGCTTCACCATCTCTATGAATCACTCTACTCTGTATTTTGATTTGTGTGCAGAAAAATTGGAAAAGATCCCTTGTACATTCACAAGGGAATGAAAGCTCATATAATGTCATAATAAGAATTGAAAATTCAAATTCTGCTTCTAATATATTTCATTATTTATTCATAGGTTCATTTGACACAGTATAGGTGGGGGTGTTGGTAGGTGACACTTGGGACATCTTTACTACTTCTCTCTACTTTTGCAACAGGCTAACAGACTAGTTATTCTCTTTGGCCAGTGAAAACTGTCTTACCATCACCCCACTGGTCATCTTTACATCATGATAATCAACTCTCAACACATTATACCTCTTTACATCTCCCCTGACTGCCACTTGGCAAATAATGGCTCAAAAAACTGATAATTCTATGATTCTGCTTATATAAGTTTGTGATTAGAGCTTCTGGCCAACTTGCACCTGAAAATTTTTATTTATCTATTTCACTTCCTTTTCGCCTACTTGTGAACAGCAAGTGGTTGCTTTGAAGATCTTACTTTTCGACTTTAATGTCTATGTGTCATAAAATCCTGACTTGGATAAAATCATTTAAAGTCTACTTAACTTTCTGTTCTAGTCATGGCTGGGTACCATTTGTGTCACATTCTTCACAGGAAAATCTGTCCCTTTGGCTTAGCATCACAAAGTCAGAGTTGATGTTTTGTCTGGGTTCCATAAAATCCAAGAGGCTCACACCTTTCCTATCCAAAAAGACTACACATTATTTTTCTCACTGGTGGCTGCATCTTGAATATTTTTTAGATTGGGAATTTGCATGTTGTCACTTCAGTAACTGTTACTTCAATTTCTATTCTATAATGGTGACACCATATCTTGTCGTCAGTGATCATTTGGTATAGGAAACTTACTTTCAGCCTTGTATTGAATCAGCAGGACCTGACAGACATGGCCTGTCATTGGTCATTCTGCTCGTGCAAACATCCATGAGACCCACTGGACACAAACATTACTAACATCATTTTCAATCAATCAATATGCCACTACATGCCCAGTTCATTCAGTGTAATCAATTGATTTGTATGGATGACTTGATTGAGAAACTCTTTATTTATTGATTTGACAGCTGTATAGGGTGGATTTTAATATGGATTGGCACACACATAACTGTCATCAATGCTGAAATGCATTACTCACTGCCTATTTGTGCTTACATCCATTATAAATTGGTACAATTGGAATTCAATAACACACCTCAACGTCATATGCACTTTCATGTCAGATGCCATTTTGTTATACTACCACTCTGCTGCTATTTGTAAGAAGGCAAAAAAAAATTATGAGTGATTAGCAAGAAGATATAACTTTTATTGTTAATAGCAGCAATATTTCATGGAAGTTGCATTTTCAGATGTATCTGTTAATGTAGATGTTCCTTCATCATTCTTCTTTTTTCAAAGGATATAATGATCCATCATTAGGGTTACTTCTGAAATTTTAAATAGCACAAGTTACAAGTATTACAGGTAAGAGTTAAAAAAAACAAAAAAAAAAAAACTAGCCCATCTTTAAATTTCACTGAAACAGCCAACTCACTAAAAACTTTGAAACTTCAAATAAACACAACTCCTCATCATACTACCACTGAAAGAATGTGCCAGTAATTGACTCTGAGATTGAGTTGGGAAATTCACTTTTAGCCTTGACTTCAGATGCAACTGAATTATTCAACAAACTTTCAAACAGCTTTCATCCACCGGCCACAAAGACAAATACACTACACACCTTCATAGCTAAGTTTTGGTGCAAGGTTTCTTTGTGAAAGAGAATTGACATCACTCAGTCTGGAACAAGTTTGACAAACAAGATACATAAACTCAATGAGAACAAATTATATATATATATATAATTTAGAAAATATGAGCTTACCTTGGTGAAAAACTAGGGATGATTTATGAGTGCTGTGCAACATTTAGAGTTGTTTATATTTTGCACTTTGCTCTTGTGTATTTTTGTTTTTTTTCTTTCTTTTTGTCATGACCCACTGAAGGGTCGGGTCCCACAGTTTGAAAAACCCTTCTCTAAAATATATAAAATCCTGTGATATGAAATATAAGTGATTTAGTTTTAAATTTGTTCAGTATCTGTTTATATTTCTGAGATGTCCCCAAGGACACATGGCACAGTGGATGAAGGCGTTAGTTAGATCCAGTAACAGGACCCAAAAAGTGTAAGTTCTATACCTGGTTAAGGCAGTGGAGAACTTGGAGAGGGAAATTAACAACTGATAACTGATAACTGACATCCATTAGACATGGCACATGGAACTAGAACAGTCTATCCCAGTGACTGAAATAAAGGGTTCAGTTTGACATTCCAACCACCTGAAGAAGGCTGGAGTGTACAATGGCTGAAATGTAATAAATATGGCGACAAAGATGAGGACAATAGTCCGAATAATGTAAATAGTGTTAAATTTGTTCCTTTACATGAAGAGTCCAGTAAGACAAAATTGTAGTAGTAAGTAGACAAATTCCTTTTTACCTTTTTTTTTTCTAATTTTATTTTTGCTCTAACTTTAGGGTTGATCACTTTACTTGACTACTGTCTTATTTCTAAATGGTATATTTCTATTTATTCTCATATATATATCCTCAGACAGTGCAACAGAAACATATACAAAGATGTTATAGGTCAATAGATATTACAAAATCAATTTGGTATTTATAGTTGAGAGAAAATGGCTGAAACATTCCACAGGCAGATGCTTTTTCATATAGCTAAACAAGTATATTCAGCCAATGGTGAAGTCTGGAGCTGCAGTAATGATGATTGATGTTTCGTATAAAGATAATAAATCTTTTAACAAGGTACTTGTTCTATGTATCTGCAACCAGTCATTAACTCTCACCATTTATTTAAAATCTTTTTGTCATCCATGCCCTGTAGTTTTTTTCAGAGAGATACAGGCCCTATTTGCTACCATTTTCACCATAGGATTTCACATTATTCACTATTTCCTACATCTATTTCTTTTAACCTCCAATAGTGAGCTTTGTTGCATTTTTGTACTACTCATTACTCAGGCTCATTTTATGACTATAATATATCTTTTTACATTTCCCATTTGCAGCTCCAATATAATATTCATTATTTTTACTTCTTTTCACAGCCTTATAGACAATATTTTTGACCAAGTAGTTGCTTTAAAATGGTATTCACTCTTTATCTGGCAATTACATTTATTTACTCTTTTTGCCAATTCACCATTATTGCTGTTATGGTTGAATATCCGCTTTGTCATGTTACTGGTAAAGCTGTAGATGACCATAACATTATTCTTGTTGAATAATTTTTTAGGTGTTTTTCTTTGTTCTAATAAAATGTTACCTTCATATCATTTCTTAATAAATCTTGTCTTACAGTCTTGAAGCTAACAGTATTAATAATTTTTTTGGTAGGCCAAGTCATTCAATTTGGCCTGATCCAAACTTTTAGGTCTTGTGGTTGATGTATCAACAAAATATGTATTGTTATCATATTTAGGAATATCCTTTGATGTATTTATATCGCTTTCATTTTCTAGCGAAGGCAGATGTATAAAAACATGTGAGAAGATTTTATCTGAATAGATCACTGGGCAAATTACTGAATTCAGATTTGGTTAATTGAATTTCTTCTGAGTTTTCTTACTAGAATCAGAAATCTTTGAAAAACAAAAATAACAATGAGTTATGTGGGTTCTTTGGCTCTTGCCAAAAGAATACCAAATTCTAGTCTATTGCTAGTTCTCTTTGTCCACTGGTGTAAATGTTTGACACATGGTTAGTACACTTGATGTGGGGGTCTATGATTTGTTCTGAGTTGAGATCATTCTGCTGATTTATTGTATTAGGACACCAATCGAAAGGTTAAAAATATAAATGTAAGTTTCTATTCTTCATTAACCCATATAAGCTGATGTAGAGTCAAGTGTTTAGAATATTAGTGTTCTGGTTGTAAGATTCAAATTTCAATTTCACCATGGTTGATTTGTCAAGGTGGTGACTTTTTGATAATATTAACCTGGGAAGTAGGTCTCAGCAGAGAGCACTGTTGGGAAGTACCTAAGAACCATACCACAGGTTGATCTAAGCTTTGTGAGTGAAATTGGGTAGATGAAAGTGTTCAGGAACTAGTACACAGTCACAAATGCTCACAGCCCAGGGTTTGAGCATACTGGCCTTATTCAACTACTGATCACACCAGGTTATTCTCTCTCTCTCTCTCTCTCTCTCTCTCTCACTCAAATTTTAACTAAGGTCTGATCAGTATAAATTGCAGGCATCTACAACAGGAATTAAGTAGCTACCTTAACAGACTTAATTCTTGTTAACAAACCAGCTAAATAGCCAACTCTCTAAAGTTTTTGGAAAAATTTTTATATTATATTGCTTATACAACACAATGAACATATATAATGATTATTCTGAAATATGTTTAGATTTTTGTGTTAAAATTGATGCTATTCCAGACTTCTCACTTCTGTTAGAAAATGAATGATTAAAATTTTATCAGTGTGTTATAGAACTTGACATAATAGGCAAAATTGGGTTCTATTTTTGAAATCGGTGATTAAAGCCAAAAACAATTCTCAAACTTAAGTCACCAGAAAAAAGTTAAATTCTATTAACCAGTGTAATCAACAATCTTTGAAAAATCTAAGATACATAGTTTAAAAAATTTCATCTTTTAAATTCATATAAAATCTCTTGAAAATATTGATCCTGAAATATTTTTCTTGTAGCTGCCATGGGGATTCCATTCCAGCCTCTGCCAGATTATCATGAAGGAGCTGAACAGGTAAGAGAAAAAAATGGAAAGAATCAATTCTAATCTTTATCATTATTTATGTACAACATAATTGCTACAGTATGTGTGTGCATGCATGCATATCTCTGTGAACATTTGTGTATATGTTGAGTATCATTTGGTTATTTACTGGATATACTATTTATTATTAGGAAGCATGACATGAAACAGTGAAAGGAATTTTGAACTTATGTGAGTTAAGGATGGGTGTGAATTTCTTTAATGAGAATAATTTAAAGATTTGGGTCATGAAGCTTGCCCCTTAAAAAGTCATACTAACCTAATTAAATGTTCTGCCTGACCAAGAAGATCCCAAAAAAAAAAAAAAAAAAAACACAAACTATTCAATATCCACTTGTATGTATGGAAAAGGATTATGTCAGTATTTAATTTAAGTCCTAATATGATTGTCAGTATACCAAATAAAAAAAAAAATGAAAAAAGTCTCATTAAAAACTAAATATAAACTCTGGAAAATTGATTAATATTGAAGTGTACAAACCGGTAATAGTATATTTTAACAATTAAATATACTGTAATTCCCCATGTATAATAAGTATTTTTTCTAAAAAAAAATAAGCAAAATTAGGGGTGTGTATTATGCACAGCTATAAAAAATATCTTTAAAAAATTTGCCGTTTCATAGGTCGATTTCAGTTGTGAATTGACTACTCGCCACAAACATACAACAATTTGACACTAACATTTGGTGATTGTGACCCCCATAAGGATATCAAATATAATCATATGTAACTAACAATGCTTACAAATGTAAAATAAAATGAGAATTACCATAAAACTAAATTAGAATATTATTCTATGTTTAAAATCATTTTTTTTAATATGTGTAGGAAACGCTGGTAGTAATGAAATTGGAAAGGTACAATTTATAGGTTTGATTACCAAACAAGGGGTGCATACTGTGTGTGATTAGAAGCATTTTCCCACACTTTCAACATAATTTTAGGGGTGCGTATTATTGATGAAGGCATATTATACATGGGCAATTACAATAAGTCTTTTTTCAATAAATAATGAACATTTTTTTTGTATTTTGTTCTCAATAAACAATATTTCATAAATCACATTTCAGTTATACTTACATTCAACTCTCAAAGAGTCTCTAGAGTTAGATTCAAATAGCAATTTTCAGCTTTTTCTTTTTCATTAGTGGTTGTACAACTGGAGCAGATTCTTTTATATAATAAATGCAAATGTCAGTGTGTCACACTTCTTCAACTTTACTCCTAGAGGCTGTGGCCCAACATATCATACCATTTTGGAATCACACCAACTCTGTGAGCAAATTAAAAACATTCTGGGCTGGATCTGGACCTGCAATCCTGAAATTTTGGATTCCCAAGTTTTTATTACTGCTCTTTTTATTATTATTATTATTTTATATGATTTTTTGCAACAAATGTTTTTGTATGATAATTTTTACAACTTGGAAATAAATTTTGGAATAATTAAAATTAATTGCAAAATCCAGTGAAAGGCACCCATCAAATAAAAAATAATTGTTTGTACGGAAAGTAAGGACCTATGTACATCAAATTGTCTTTAAATTAAGTGGTGGAAGAAGAATTATTGTTGAAAGGAAAGCTTAAATATTAATGTAATTCTTAAATGTAGTGATCAATTTTGAGTTCTTCTGTAGTTTATTGTTGCCTATCACATCTACTCCTCCCTACCTATTGTGATAAAGGCCCAATTATGAGCCCTCCACAGGAACTAGCTTTTAAGCTAGTAATTTTAATAATTTCAAAAATACTCAATTTTTATGTCCATAATTGTAAAATCTTTTGTGAGATTATCCTGTGTAAAAGCTTCAAGTGGACTGAAATGTTATTTACACTGTTTATGAATTTCTTATGATGAAACATCAAAAAGGTCATTTGCATTAATAATTGCAAAAGAAAATCTATCATCAGAAATAACTTGTTGACTAAAATCAGAGCTTTGAAAATTTAATTTCCCACTGCTGATAATATTAATTTTGTTTGTATATGAAGGCTCTGAAAACTGCTTGCCACTACATGAAGAGTTCAAAAGGTCCCTATTGTTTATTGGTCAAACGACAAACTTTTCTTCCATACCGTTTGAAGAAGAAAGAACCTGAGTAAGTTTTGAAATTAATTTTGTGATTTTTAACAATTTCATGTATAAAAACGAATGACACGGTACAGTTAAATCTTTGGTAATTATATCTTTGCTTTTGATCAATATGTAAAATACCATTTTTGTATCTAAATAAGATATAAAATGTATAATAATAAGATATAAAATAAGATATAATAAGATATAAAATAAGGTAACTGATTTATCTTTATCTACTGTGCTATTTATTATAATATGAAAATTATTTAAAGTAAAATGATACAATTTAGTATTTATCTTGGTCTCTTATTTTACAAGAATTTTCTTAAAATATTAAAATTCCTATAAAGAAATTTCAACTTAAAAAAAAACTTGCATTATTTTACTTATGTGTGTTTATACACACACACAATCATATTAAGAAAATTAACAACAAAGTGGAAAAATTTTTCATGTGACACATTTTCTACTTTGTTGATGTATGTATCTACACATGTGCATGAAGAGGACACTGAAATTTCAAACTTTCAAATTATTTTTTTTCTTTGTGTTTGGGTATTTTCTTTTTATGATAAAATATAGTTTAATAAAGGTATGCTATTTTTATAGGGTATCTGTGATATATGTAAATATAAGCATTGTGGACACAGTATAACACCAAATAACAAGAGTATATTTAATTATTTTCATCTACCAGCCTGAATATTTCAGAAATCTTAGAGAAAAATTTGAACACAGGTTTGAATCCAGTAGGATTCAAACCTGTGTTCCCCTAAGAGAAACCATCAAGATCTGCTGTGCTTTGACCCCTCAGCTACAGAGTGTGTCGATGACTTAAGCAAAGTTGAATAGTGTATATTTTTCTCTAATAAGATTTCTAACATTCAGGTCAGTAGACAAAAATAAATATACTGTTTAATAGGTAAATGGAGGATCTACTCAAATATGAGTATCCACTAAAAATAATGTTTAAGTAATAAAAATCTGTCAGATTAATAAATTAAAAATTCATCCCTTTCTTTACATACAAACAAATAAGCCAAATCTACGCACTATTTTCATTAACTATTCAATCTCATTACTGTAAAGACCCATTCATCTTTTATTTTGTGAGTATCACTTTTATGATTAAAATGTACTTTCCAATTTCATCCTAGAAGTTTTATTTTTTTTTTATTTTAAATATATTCTAGATTGCATTATCAGTTGCAACTTCTCTTTAAATGGAATGAATTGTCACTTGTCCAATTGATGAAATATCTTGTGGAAAATTTTCTTTGTTTTCTATGTTATTACTCTGGCCATGTATGAAATAGTGATTGAGAACAATGGAAGGCAGTGAAAATAATGATTAACCTCAAATGTCTGGAAAATATTTCACTGTTAAAAATAATCAGGATTGAAGAGATTGCATTGATTTTAATGCAAAATTCATGAGCAAGCTTAAAAATGGACAACAAAAAAATATCTAAACATTTTTTGCTTTTAGGTTTTTCATGAGCAGAGAATTTGCTATGAAAGTAATTGTGGACAACATGAGTCCCAAAGATGCAGTTGTGAGCACAACTGGAATGTTGTCCAGAGAACTTTTTGAATATAGGTAAGGATTCCATTTTTTAATAACAATTTTTTCGCCTTAATAGAACAAATTTTTCAAAGAAACACTGGCTAAACTGTATACAGTCTTATAATAAAAGTACATTGTTTTTTAACTAAATTTCACAGTGTCTTTCTTCAATGTTTTTTTTTTAATTTTGATATTATACTTATTGTGTTTCTTATGGAGATAAAATCATATAGAATGAATAGTCATTGAAGTTGCATATTGCTTCATATGATCATTTAATTATTTTCTTCAAGAAATAACTATACTTTCTCATTTATCTTTAGCTACTTTGTTGATATCAATTTGAGCAGATATTAAAATAATTCCTCATATAGAAAATTATCATATGCTTTATTATTCTGACCAGCATTCTGATCTTGGCTGTTGAACTCTCTGGTTTACTTCAGGTTTTTGTCTTCATACTTTGTAAACTTGGAATTTGAAACCCTTTATTTAATATATGGGGGTAGATTCTCTTCATTTCATATTTAGAGGATATCTTGTATCACTTACTTTCACTTTTATGCTGTTTGTTCATTTCTTCCACTGAATTAAACTATATGATTTTTCAGCACTACCAATTCCATGGATTGCACTTACAACTGCTGGGGTGTCAGATATGTTTTAAGCAACATTTTTTTTTGTTTCACTGGGCCATATTAAGTTTCTTACAAATTTGTGACAACTAGAACTTAATTTTTAATTAGATACTGAAAAATTATTATTCACTGTCACTAGATTTTCAATAGAATTCATTGTTCCAGAATAAGAGAATAGTTAAAAAATTGGGTTTATGATATATAAACCTTCATAGGACTAATACTGGGTTTAATAAATTTTTGTATTGACAGATATACACTCACTAGTCATTTAATTAAGTACATATAAACAAATAATTTTTTATACAAATATCTAATCAGCCAATGTGGCAGCAATTTAATGGATATAAGCATTTAAACCTGCTGAATTTCATTTCATGCATCAGTATAGGAAACAAAGGTGATTTGAGTGACTTTGAATGCGACATTGTTGTTGGTGCCAGATGGGCAGGTCTAACTATTTCAAAAACTGCTGATCTACTAGGTTTTTCACAGAATGTCCAGAAAAATTCTGTGGGCAGAAAACCATTGATGAAAGAAGTCAGAGGAGAATGGCTAGACTGGCTGACAGAAAAGCAACAGTAGCTCAAATAATCCACTTGACAACGAAGGTATACAGAAGAACATTTCTGAATGCTCAACACACAAAACTTGAAGTAGATGCAACAGCAAAAGACCATGATGGATGCCACTCATATTGGATAAGGATACCGAGGCTACAATATACGAAGGATTAAAAAAAATGAACAATAGAAGATTTGGTAAAAAAAACCTTGTCATATGTTATTTTTGGCATTTTTGTTTGGCACAAACAAGCAGAACATGTCGATGCAGGGGAAGTAACTAGCACACAATGAGACAAACCAAAGAAATGTTAGATTTGCTTTATCAGTTTAAAATAAAAACCAAATAATCTGTTTAATGAAAATATTTGATAGCTAAAACAAGTTTTTAAGAAATATAGTCCTATTTATTTAAGATAAATTATCAATCATGGTATTGCTTATCTTTTAAAGAGTGGAAAAAGATATTGGTCATGAGAAGGACTTTCTAACTGTTGGTTCGATGGGACATGCTTCAGCTATTGCTCTGGGAATTGCCATGCAGAGACCAAACAAACAGGTAAGATTAGTTAATTTTCTGTTTCTCTGATTCATTTTCATTAACCAACAAGTGATGAATAAAGCTCCATTTGTAATAAGAATCAATAGTTTCTAGTGTACATTATTCAATTGCTTAAATTAAATGGTTTCTATGCTAAGCTTCTGTTTGGAATCATTTTTGTTGTCTGCGTCTTTTTACTGTTTTTGCTTTTACACTTTATCTGTATTTATTACATACTTATTGTCACCCACCTTTTATACAAAATAATCTAGCAAAAGATTTTACAATTATGGACATCAAAATGGTATATTTTATTACATTTTTAAATTCTTAAAATGAAATGAAATTTTTGCACAGTGGGAAATGTGAAGCAAAGTAAATAAAAAGTTAGCATCACCAGTTCTTTTAGTCATCTATTTGCCTCACTGCTCATATTTTTTTTACTACATGATCATGTAGTAAAAAAAATTGTATTCATTACAAAAGCTACTTAATAAAGGTTATTATAATAGTATAAAGTCCAGCAAAAATGTTGTTGTGAATAAATTCTATATAATATTTTCTGTTGGATATAAATAAATTCTTCATTATATTTTTGAGTTAAAGATGCCCATAAAATAATTAGCTTCTGACACATGTCTCCAAAATATCATGAAAAGCTAAACTACAATAGATTGTAGTTTAGCATTTCATGATAACTCATAATACTTGATTCTAATTTGAAGAGTTTTGTAAAAGCAGGCAAATCATCATCAGCAAACAATTTAGTTTGAAAATATCTCTTAATTTTTTTTTCCTTGGTAGATCTTCTGCCTTGATGGTGATGGTGCTGCTATCATGCACATGGGATGCTTAGCAACAATTGGTCAGAATGGTCCATCAAACCTGAAACACATTATCATCAATAATGGTTCTCATGATTCTGTTGGTGGTCAACCAACTGATGCCCAAAACAGTAACTTTTCCTTCTGTGATATTGCCAAAGCCTGTGGATATAAAGAGGTTAGTAAGTTCTTTTATCTTGGAATTTCTTTATTCCTTGTCATAATCCAAAGCAAGATTCTGTATCTTTTCAAACATGTCATCTTCTTTCTTGTTTCCAATATTAATATCATTTTCTTGGAAATGTTTTTCATAAATTCATTGGTTTTCAATGGAATTATTTTTCAGGCTGAAATACTGCATCATTTTATTAACTATTTCACAGAAGTTGTCTGACATTTTATAGGAACCTTTATTTCAATAAGTAAAATGACCAAATTAGTTTTAAGGAAATGTAAATGCAAGAGTGAAAGTATAGAGAGTTGTTAAGAATATTTTTGAGTATTCGTAAATTTCAAAACCTAACTATATTTTTTACTCCTGTTTATAATACATGTTGTAAAATAAAATCCTTACATTTGCCTTGATAAAGTCCATCAGAGGATGAAATATGTTGGTAAAGAAAACTTTTTACAGATATATTATTTATATCTGAATTTTTACACATACATATTAGAAGTCAACAACCAGTGGTGACAGTCTGTTTCATGCTTAAACATAATATTCAGGGTCTGAAGATTGTGTTTAATTATGAAACATTGTCAATGTTGGCTTCATTGTCCACTTATATATTTATTATGCTCTATTCCTGATATTGAGCACTTTAACACATAAACATAGCATACCTTAAAACTATATATTTTTCTCTCTCTTTATATATATATATATATATATATATATATATATATATATATATATATATATATAAGCAGTCAATTACAGAGCAACAATAATTTGGTGTCCAATGAAGATAAAAATCATTACATTATGCATAAAAATGACCAAAGCTATTAATAAAGTACAATAACTACAACTAATGAAAAGAATTTTCTACTTTCAAGTTATGATTTTGTCAGTTATATTTTGTTGATTATGCTATATAATTATTGTAATAATGTTTTTCCTTTTGTTTCATTATGTTGCAGGCAAAATCAGTCTTGACTGAAGAAGAATTGAAAAACAGTATAGTTTGGCTGAGGGGGACAAATGGTCCTGTATTGTTAGAAATTAAGGTCAATTCTGGGGGTAGGAAAAACCTTGGCCGACCAACACGTACTACACATGAGAACAAAACTGACTTTATGCATTTTTTGGCTATCAATTAATTCAAGATAATTCAGAAATGTAATCCTTATTTTCACTTCCATCAATTTTTAAACACACTGACAGAATAAGAAATAAGCACCATTTTTTGATATGTCATATTAATGAATATATTTTTAAATGTATTTTGACATCATTTAATATTTTTTGTACCAGTAGAAGGTAAATAGTTCAAATGATAATTATGTCGCTGTAAGAATACTATGAATTAGGTTGAAACAGGTTTTTTTTTCACTGAATTTTTATGTTATTGAATATTTTTGAGTCACATCATGTATGAGTAATATTATCTTTAATTTTTTTTTATTAGATGAAGCATTGTTAACCATTATTAATTGTTTAGTATTTCTTTCATTTCCATCTTAAATTTTCCATCATGATTATCCAGGCTACCATTCTATGGGCATCAGAAAAATTGCACAGATCAGAAATAAATAATAAGCACTTGGTGAGACAAACTAACCTTTTTGAAAAAAAAGTATTTCTTACCATAACTACTGCTTCACTGCATGGGCTTTTGTTGTTTATTGTTGGCTGTAAATGATAATCCAATAAAATTAAGATCAAAGAAATACAATTCAAAAATTAATATTGCATAAAACCCTAACCCTCTAGTTGTCAGTATCAAATATGAGAGAGAATTGTGTAACAGAAAGTCTTAAAGGATATTTGTGTTGACTGATTCTGACAATTATTTTATGGAAACCTTGCTAGGTATTTAATGGAACAAAAAAATGGGATAATTTTATTACTGAACTTTTAATCAGGTGACTAGATGATTGTTGCAGTAGGTGAAAAGCCATCTGTACATTAAACTATTTAAATAAGACACAATGATATTCATATTATAATTTTGCATAATAAAAAATTGGACTTAATTTTTTTTTTTTACTGGTAATATATACGTTCTATAGATGGAAAGTTTTATTTTTTTGATTTTTCATGAATGTTTAAATATTATGGCTTATATAAAGGCCAATGAGAAAATCTTAAATAAGACTTTGATCTTTCAAAGATGAAATTCTTGTTTCTCTTATTTTATATTTTAATTCTTTGTTGATCAATCTTAAAGTTTAAAATAAATTTTAAAGGTTTCAAACATTAAAACCAGATAACAATTTTAAGTAATGTCTAATTGCAATTTCACTTCCATATTCTGAAAATAGTCATTTAATTTTTTATTTCTATTGCTGTTTCTGTTACCCTGACATGAACTGAAAGAAATTATTGCAAAATTAGATTTCCTTTTTTTACATCATCTGATGCATAATTATTTTTTACATCATCAGTGCATAATTATTATAATAAAATTAAATATGGATCATTAACTTCTGTGGGTTTCTTCTCAGCATCCAACATGAATCATAAGGTACTTTGATTAATCACTTGCACATCATATGCTTTTTAAAAAAAAACTCTTTTGCTGCTATATGCAATGTAAGTTAGACTTCTTAACTGACTGCATTATACACCTATGGCTGAATTTACATATCTATGGAAGAATTAGCTTAAACCTTTTAATTTCACAAAAAAGTTCAAAGTTCATAATTTGGGTGAAAGTATCTAAAATCAATTGATCATTTTTTTTTCTTGTCATTTTAGTGAAGCTTTATCTAAGATTATTTACCCATTAGATAATTATTAAATAAAATATTGTTCTGAATAAAACTTTTGCAATTATTATTTAATTAATAAACAAATTTTAATTTTCAAAATGTTTTGGTATCACAAAAATGTTAAAATGTTTATTATTTTTTAATGCTTAACAGCTTTATATTAATTATATTTTCTAATCGTGTAACACTGGTGATCCACAGCCAACACAGTGAAACACTTTGATTATAAATGAAAATCAATTAACTGCAGCACATTTTGAACAAAATCAGTTTCCATTAAAAAGTATACAAATATTTTTACTAAGGTATGCATTCTTTTTTATTAATAAATAAATAATGAATAGAAGTCATATACTCTTGGACTATTCTGTTAAAAGCGCAATTTTATTAAAATTACTTATTTGCATGAGAGTACAGACTGTGAAATTTGAAGAGATTAGAGCACTTATCTGAACACTTATTTCACTTGATTACAAAAATTAGTGGCATGTATTAGAGTGATAATCATTCTCTAAAGCAATATTTTTACATGGGTCATTATGGGATATTTAGAATACAGAAACTAATAAATTATTTAATTCTATTGTGTGTTGAAATTCATTGTGGTGGTGTTCCAAATTGGATAAAGTAATCAACATCAGCTCTAAGATATACTCAGCTCAGTTAAATATTGATCATTTTTAAACATAGAACAAAAATTGAAAAATTATTTGAAATATCAAAATAAAAAATCTATTTTTGTATGTGCAAATTAAGAAAAATAAAAAAGCAAAGAAAAAGTAATTTTTGCAAAACATTTTTCACTTTGATAATTTATTTATATTTTTGGTTTATCGAAACTAGATGTCAAGGATTTAATAATATTGCAGTTGTTTTATGTAACCTTGAAGAGAGCTCCACATATTTTAATCATTTGTTAATTGTTCTATTTTTATCATTAATGTCTGATGTATTTAAACCATTGATGCCTTACATACTGAATCTGTTGCTATTGAATATTTCTCCACTCCTTGATATTAATAAAATTGAATTCATTATCATATGCCAACATTTCATATTCATGAAAGCAACATGATGCCATGGAACAGTGGCTGACTTTCTAATCTCATAAGCCACTGTGAGGAAATTTGGTCACTAATGATTTAAACTTTTTGCCTATTTTATTATGTAATAATAATATGTAATAATAATATTAATTATTGTCTGGCTTAGACCAGCCAAAAATAAAAATACATATTTTTATATAATAAAAATAAAATGAGCTCGTAATACATCCTAAATACATCTGATTGTCAATTTAATAGAGATCATTTTGTATGTTGATTTTAATTTGTATTTAAACATTTAAAAGGTTAGTTATTCTGTTAAGTTAGAATACTATTATAGTGAAAAGAGCAACTAAAGGGATTAAGCTCTGTAATATGAAAAAAAATTTTCTAAGTAACAATATGCTTTTAGATGGCACTTGAAGCAGTGAAGCCAATATGTAGTAACCGATTAGTGTCAGTTGATCTCAGTTAATCTCTTTAGCTCTCAGCTATTGGTTGTAATAAGGTAATCTCTAATCTTTCTCTGTATATCTCTGCTTTTATATGACATGAAAATTTAATACTCCTTATCTGATTTTCTATCTTTGTTTGTTTTAATCATTGTACTTTGATTAGTTCAGGCAAATTTTCTCATTTTCATTTTGGTCATTGTAATTTCTGTCATTCCAGAACACAACAGAAGCCTGACGAAAGCTGTAAGGTATGGCAGCTGAAATATTGTAATAAAAGACAGAACAAGAAAATGAATCCAAATTAACCAAAGCACAATTTTAAAAATGAATAATTTAGAGGTTATAGCACATTTTTGTTATGTGTTCTCAATTATAGCTGCTTCTTGTTTTGAATAAAGAAAATAGGAAAGAACAGTGATACAAAATGTAGTTTTAATGAACATTAATGAAAAAAAGTGGATGTAATATTCTGCATAAATAATTATTGCTATTACACGACACATCTTAAAATATATGACCCAAGAATTTCTACATTAAAATATTGATTTTTAGATTACTGTTTTAATCTTTAAAAATGTTCTTATATTATAAAAGAGATGTAGCCTTCTGGCCTTGATAGAGAGATCTGTTTAAATATATGTATCTCAAAGAACTTATTGTTTTTAAGCTTTTCAAAAGAGATTCTGCTTTGTAGCATTGTCAGATTCTAGTTTTCACAGTTCCAAATAGATTTCCTTTTCTAATGGAAGAGTACAAAAGTAGACATGACTGATGCATATTTTATTTTCTGTGCAAACTTCATGAATTATGATTGACATCCATCTTGCTTTCACACATTCTACATTTGCTATTTTTTTGTCTTGTTTATCTTTATTAAGATTTGTTTATAATTGTTGTTTTTGACTGCCATTAATAAGGATTTAGTTTCTTTCTTCTGATGTACTTGTTTCATTTGAAATTCCTCTAGTTTGTCTCTTGAAATTTATCCCTTTTGTTGGAATTTCTTGCTCCTCCATCCATTCTTCTGTTCTAATGGAACTTGTTATAATTTATCTTTATCACTCTGATAGCAAAGTTAACACAATCTTCAATGTTGATGAACCTTATACCTTTTTCCTTTTCACATTTAGTTTTTCAACATCCCTTGGGTGATAGGCTTTATGTTTATCCATTATCATCAGTTTTCTTTTTGAGTCAACTTAATAATAAATTTATTTTATTAATGGTTTTGCATAAAATATTAGCTTTTCTAATTTTTCTCTCATTATCCATAATGCCATCAGTGCCTTTTGTTAGCAAACTAGCCATTAACAATTTTTTATATCAAGTACAAATATATAACATGTTATGAATTGAAAACTCATTTCATTTTCAGGTAAAGCTTTGTCTTTTTTCACAACTATAGATATAGGAGACTGATAAAGATCATACAAATTATCATAATGCTTGTTGACCTAAGAGAAAGCAATTTTATGCATGTAAAAAGAAATATATATGAAATTTAAAACATCTATACTGTAAAAGAAAATCTAAATTAATTGAAAGTTTCTTTATAGTAAAATCGAAAAAGTAAATTTATAGTAAAATCGAAAAAGAAAAACAATTGATAAACTTTTGAGTTGCTGACTTTATATACATGTTATATATACAGAACAAATAAAAATGTTGAATATTAGAAATGTTTCTTCTGTCGACTTGAAATTTGTTTTTCTGTTTTGTTTATTCTGTTTTTTGGAATAATTGATCAAAAAATTAATTTAAACAAAAATAAATTTTCTCTTTTATCGAAAATTTCATTTTTCATGTCAAACAAATTATGTAAATGTCAAAGAAAAATGCAATAAATAACAGTCAATTTAGGGCACTTTTTTGGGTAGCAATCTAGTGTTGCAGATAAATTACTATTGAGCAGCAAGTGTTATCCTTACTAGGTATCACAAATTTGTGGCCTTGTTTAAGCTAAAATTAATAAATAAATGGCAAGTTTCATTGTTATATTTTATTGAAAAGCTTTGGTTCAATTTCATTTTAACCAGCTAAATGTTTAGGCTTGTTATCAATTCTTATGGAGGAAAAAAAATTGATTTTTAAACAGGATTCTCATAATAGTGCATGTTTGTATATTTTTGAAATTTAAATTTAATTATTTTTAAATAATTTAATTTCCATAAAGTACAAAGTGAAATTCTTACATAAAAAAATTTAGAAGATGAAAAGATGAGTCTAAATAAATGACCTTAATGATTTAAAAAAAAAGTTTTTCTTGTGAAATGTTTGGAAAATGTAACTGCCAAATGCAAAATAAAGCAGAAAATATAAACTTTTTCTTTTTTATGTGTAAAAGGAGGTAACTCTCAGGCATTTCAACAATGACTCATGATTTACTTTGTTTTTCAAATTAGAAACCGTGGATTATTTCTAAAACAGTAGTTAAATTATTTGTCATTCCTGCAGGTCATATGATTTCATTTTACTGAAGAAATAATAATGTATATTGAAAAATAAAAGTAAGATAAATGAAGTTACAAGAATCCCAAATCTCATATTTTCCTTACATATTAAACAGATTTACATTTTTTAAGACTTGTTTGTTAAGACTTTTTTTTTCACAGCAAGTTGAATTATTAATAATTACATTGTTTCAATTATTCTTGACATGCAAGTGCTTTTGATTCTATGCATACAATATTCTTCAATGACTAACCTTTTTCATTAAAAAAAATTGTACATTATTGAATTTATGATATGAAATATTTATATTGTGGAGTTTTGTACATTTTTTTACTTTACAGTATTTGTTTTTTTGTTCAGCATTTTTATTAATTGCAGCTAAAGTTTATAGTTTTACTTTACAAGTATTTTTAATTGTAAATTTGAAACGCATTTAAATTTTGATGAACTTAGATTTTTTAAAAAATTTCCATAAAACTAAATTGGACTCTATTTTGTTACATTAATTCAAGAAAAATTTTCCTTTTGTGAATTCCTATTATCTGAATGCATGAAATGTATGAAATGGTTTATTTTAATGTGATAACACTTTTATTATTACTTTTGATATAGATCTTCATAAAATATCTAATAAATGATCTCTTGTTGGATTGTTTATGGTGTTCTATTATCAGCGTAAATTTTATTGTTGCTAAAACCTTTTCTGTTTTTATTTAACTATAAAATTCTTATATTATCACCAAAGTTAAGCACTGTCAAGCCTGGTCAGTGTCTAGATGGGTGACTACTTGGAAATACAAGGTGCTGTATGCTTGAATAGATGAGGAGTGTAGTGGATAATGGCTTGGAATTGGAAATCTGAGAGCCAAGTTCTGATTCCAGTCAGGTTCATTATATTTACTTATATGCAAAAACCCTTGAGAAAGATATGAATCCACCTCTTTTCAATTTTTTAGAGATGATTTACTAGTACAAGTTCTACTAATTATAGTAGGATTGTATCAGTAAATTTTTATCTCAAAAAGTTTCTTACAATATAAAAGTATTTTCTGGTTTTAAATAACCTGCAAAAAGTTGATAATCCATAAAACAACCCAAATCCATTAACATCATTAATCTTTGTTATGTGAAAGCTGATACAAGATAGCATTTTATGTACTCCAGGTTAATCAGAGACTGAAAATAATGACTAGAAAGTGAGTGATTTAACATTTATATCTGCCACATGCACATTTTGTTGTGAATAATATTAATATTTAATAAAAATCCTCACCAAATTCTTACATGTTCTTAACGAAAACATAACTGTCATAAGAAAAATGGGTTTATAATGAAGAACTTGTGAACTGTTAAGGTAATTGTATCTGAAAAAGAGAAAATCTTCAATGCCATAGGGAATAGTATAGAAGAACAATGATTAAAGACTAGTTTCAGCAAGTGAAAATATAGATTAAGTCAAATGCCATTGTTGTCCATACAGAAGGGTATGATTAATAAAACAAAACCAAATTGTACCAAACAAATGCAAATATCAAGAAAGCATAGAAAATTGTTTTTTTTTTTTTTTCATCAAAGTTCAGCATTTTAAAAAGAGTAATATTATCATTTTTAAAATCAAGAATTTTTCAATAATTTAAGATTCTTTTTGTAGACATAAGGAAGACAATAAATGGCGGAAATATTCACTCAAAAGGACATGGTTTACCTTGTAGATGCAGTCAAACAGAAGAGTATTGTTTGATGCATTGACCTTTTTGTATTAGAATCTCATGTGGTTTTTTTGTATGTAACATTATCATTCTTTATGTATAGTTTTTTTGGGTGGGGCATGACTTCTAGTTTCAAGGGGGGATAACAATACAGATTGAAAAAATGTATTTTCTTTAATTTCCTCCCCTCCTCTTTTAATGCATCATGTGAAATTTCTTATTGCGTCTTATTCTTTGACATTGTTTTATTAAATTACAATTTCCATTAAAAAATGCCTGTGTTCTACTGAATTCTTTGATTACTATAAATTATTGCAACAGTTTTATTTAGAATGAATTGTGGAAATTATTTTGGGATTTGAATTTAATTAAGAAATAATGTTTGTTAGGTTAGCAGAAGTGTTTACAACTTTTCCTAAAAAATGATGACTACTGCCTAAAGAATGTTTTTTAAATAGTAAAAACAAATCTTATGTGAAATAGTGCCTTAATGGCCGCTTACTATATTGGAGCAGCTTTCAAATCTTCAAAAAACATTCTTCAAGTGATTGTATTATTGTTTGTTTAACAGTTTAAAAGTATTCAACTTTTAATCAATGAAAAATCATGATATACAAAATAATTCAATTTTGATTATCATCTTCATTATCTTAGATTTGGTGACAGCAGGACTGGATGGTTTCAAGTTTGTATCTATCTGAGCAGAAGTTGAATTGCTGAGAAAACTAGATTATTATATGTAGTTTGTTATGTATATAGTAGTTTTTCCGATAAACTACTATATCAGTAGTCTGTGGTATGAAAAAATAAACTATAGAGAAATTCTATGCAGAATCCAATACAAAATTAAAATAATAAAACTATTTAGCATAAATGTGTAATTATGGTTGATGAAAGATTTACTGTTTTGACTTGTCTGATCTGGCAAAGGTGTTAGGGATACAAGTGCCAGATAAGTAAGTGGACTTGTATGATAAAATTGGTTTGACTTAATCTACATTACTTACACATTTTATACTTCATAAAATGTTATCTAGCTTCTAATAGTTAGGTTTTATATTATAGAAATTAAAAGTAAAATTTTATATTTAAGAGGGTTTTATTTATTTTTTTTTTTAAAAAGTCATAAGGTTATCATTTTCAATATTTTCTTGAATTTTTAAAAGAATTTTACATTTCATTAAAAATATTGCTAAAAACACTGAAGAAAAAAAGGAAATGTGTAAAAAATTAAAAAATTTTGCTAAATATTATTTCTGAGTCTGTCTATATTTCTGAGATGAGGTATTATGTACATTATTTACATTATTCGGACTATTGTCCTCATCTTTGTCACCATATTTATCACAATGTTTCGGCCGTTGTACGCTCCGGCCTTCTTCAGGTGGTTGGAATTTCGAACTGAACCCTTTATTTCGCTCACTGGGGTAGACTGTTCTAGTAAAACTGGTATAGGCGGGCACAAGAGGAGGAGGAGGACAACAACACTCAGAAAACAGTCTGCCTGCCTTATGTGAAGGGGTTATCAGAGAAAATACAAAGGATCTGCGGTCCATATGACATCAGGACAACCTTCAAAAGCTTGACGACACTTCACAGATATCTCTCCCGAGTGAGGCCCCCACAGAGGAGAACATGACTAAAGACTGTGTGTACACTATCCCGTGCAGCTGTGGAAAGGAATATAAAGGAGAGACAGGCCGCCCCCTCAAAATAAGGCTTCAAGAACACTAGAAAGCTGTAACATGAGGGGAAGTAGAAAAATCAGGCATGGCTGACCACATACGAAGAGAGAAGGGAGATCACCGCCCTCTGTGGGATCATGTTGAGATCATAGACAAGGAACACCATTGGAAAATTCCTAAACTTAAGGAATCAGCACATATGCTAGACCACAAAAATCTCCTGAGCCGACCAAGTATAGAAATAAATACAATCTGGGAACCAGTAATAAGGAGTGCCAGAGAAAAGCAATAATAACAAAGTTGCAATATGAGCTCTGGTAAAAAACATGCAATGATAACAGCAAAATTGCAATATGAGCACTGGTAAAAAATGGTTGCTGAAGACATTAGGCTTATAATACCCAGAAATTCATACCCAGATGTCCTCAAGGACACATGGCACAGTAGATACAGGTGTTAGTTAAGATCCAGTGACAGGACCCAAAGAGTATGAGTTCAATACCCGGCAGTGGGGACCTTCAGAGGGAAATTAACAGGAGATAACTGATAACTGACATCCATCAAACATGGCACGTGAAACTAGAACAGTCTACCCCAGTGAGCGAAATAATGGGTTCAGTTCGAAATTCCAACCACCTGAAAAAGGCTGGAGTGTACAACGGCTGAAACGTGATAAATATGGCGACAAAGATGAGGACAATAATCCAAATAATGTATATTATTTCTGGTTGGGGGATTTTGTTTACCAAGAAAAATTATTTTTCTTACAGATCATTGTCTATTTATCTGTGGCTTTGCTTTTCTATATATTGATATAAATCTTCTTGTTCTTGTTCTGATGTTTACTTATTGAGCCAGGTTTAAAGGGTCATGTTGGTAATGCATTCTAAAAAAGAAAAAAAGACTTTTCTCTTTCCATATTAAAACTTTTAGCACATTTCTGCAAGATATTCATTTGATATTCCAATGATCAGGAGAGAAGCCTGTAACACAAGTGAGAAATCTTTGCAATGTTAAATCATGACAATGATTATTTACTTCCTATTGGTGAAAAGTAGAAAAATTGTTGAGTTTTTAGCTGTTAGCAACACTGAATATAAAAATAGAAAATGACATGTTGATGAACAACAGCTGAAAATATGGCAACATGTTCATGGTTTGTAAAATTAAATTTAAATGGATACTATCTCTTTTTTTTTTTTTTTTTTTTCCAAAATAATAAATATAGAAAACTTTAAATAAGTTGAAATCAACATTTATTTACTAGCCAGCAAGAAATGAGCTGGTCTCACAAGCCATGGATTGTAAATTTGATCTTTGTTAGGTACTTGAAAAATCTTTCTAGACCTGATATTCATTTGCAGTAATTAACACTGAGATGATATTGTTTTTTTTTCCAATTCATAAGAAACTTGCAAAAAGAAATTTAAAAAACAAAAATTGAAAAATTTAGTGTTTAATTATTTTTTTCTACCAGAAATATTTTACTTCTTTGCAGAAAATGACTCAAATCAAGGGTAGCTATAAGGAATTCTAAATTTTACTTCCATTGGATTCAAATCATTTGCTACTAAAATATACAATGAACAAAATATCAGTTCAGTTTATTAAGTAAAAAAACAAAAAACAAAAAAAAAACTACTAACAATCTTTTATTTACAAAATAAAATTTATTGAACAACCTATTTACCATTTTCCCCCCAATATCTTTAGGCAACGTCATAATGCCATCCTTTCAGAAATTTCATCCTTTCTCAGCATTGAATTGAATTTTGCAGTCTTTCTATAAATAAGTTTCTCAAAGAAGCTGTATTAATTAATCTTGATAGATTGGTGTAAAGATTTATGAAAAAAATCCTCTATAGCATTTTTACATTAACTCTCCAATCTTAGTTCTATGTTTCACTTGAAAGAAAACAAATAAAATCTTTTCTCTTAATTTATTCATTTCCATTATTTCAATTAGGATAATTCACATTTTTCAGTATTTTTGACAGACTCATTTATTTTAACATCATTCATTCATCAAATTACTTCTGACCTTTTATGATCATAAATTGAGCTAAAGAGAATAAGAGAATGATTTCAGTTTTTATTTGATGAATTCTTTGAATAATTTCACAATATCTTGAAATTATTGGGACTTCTGCATGGAACAAAGTAAGTTCTACTTTGAAGCTGAATAGGTTTAATGCAGGAAAACTCCCATCCCAGCTTCACCAGCATTTCTTAAATCACATTTGCAAGAAGAGGACCAGTATCGTTAGGCTACAGAAAAAAGAAAAAAAAAAAGAAGACTTTTCTCTTCCAATGTGTTATCCAGATTGATTCCTAATTGTTTTGGAAATTTGTCTAGAGTAGGCATTGCATTTTCCTTTAAGTCAAATGCCATTGTTGTCCATACAGAAGGGTATGATTAATAAAACAAAAGATTTACCCATTTTATTAGTTTGCATCTAAGGTTTTCAAGACAGTCCTTGAATTCAAGATATGTGTACAAGCTGAGAATGTTATATTAAGGGAAAACTGAGAAAATCTTTGGCAAGGGAAGGATAAAAACTTGGACAAAAAAAAGAGTAAAAAAGATTAATTAACAATGATGCTTAAGAGTGAACCAAAAATAAATGTTGCTTCTATGTGTTTTTCCAAAATTAACGAAACACTAATTTATCTGATCTGTCACATTTTTTTCTTTTAGGCCTTTGATTTCAAGAGTTACATGTAGCCTCTCATTAAGATCAATAAATCTGCTCTAGTATGCAACAGAACTGACTGTAATTTTATAGCATTATTTTTGTCTAACTTTGTATGCACATGCATTTTATAAGATTGTTGGGAAAAAGGATAATGAAAAATTTTCTTAATTCTTTTTTTCTGTCATAGTAGGCAATAAACTTTACATTAGCATGTAAGTCATGTAGAAGTTTATACACAGAAAATGTCACTTTTTCTGCTCTGAGGAAATGAAAGTTAAAACTTCTAATCCTATGAGAGTCTTTGAGATTTATTTTAAAGCCAAAAATACAGATAATTATTTATCATCTTGTAATCATGGGATATTAAATCCTAGCTACAGGTTTTGTTAAGGTGTCTATGAAGCAGCTACTCAGACTAAATGAAATTTTTTTCCTACACTGATAACTTCTGTGGTACATCATTTATTTTAACATTGTTAACATGACATGATACCAGATACATAGAGAATCATGGTAACGTTATCTAGTTTCAGAACTGAGAGTATTTAATGGAACAAATGTTAACTGGTGAGAAAAAATGTTCTTTTTAAAGTCAGCTTTGAAATATATAGTGATGTTTTTACATCTCTGAAGGAGAGAAAAATGTAAACTTGTCTGCAAGTGTCCATCCAGTAATCTGATTGGTTATAAAATAGATTTGGATGAAATATGGATTTGATCATACCTACAATATTTCAGTGGAGTCTTCAATACACTTTATTTTATATAAAAATTAATTTCAGAGATTGAGTTTTAGAGTTAGCTTCCCTTTATTTGTATAGGATAATGTAGACACAAAGGAAATATTTTATATAAATCTCATGATGGAAAAAACACGCATAACTTTTTTCATCACCGCAACAAATGTGTAGAATGCTGCAAGCAATTAAGCTGTGATTAGGAGGCAAAACACGCAGTTTGATTGGCATGAATAGTCTTAACTTTTACACACACACAAAAAAATCATGACCAATAATGTATTTGTAAGGTATTCAGCCTTAAACCTCATCAGATGAAAAAGAATGATTCTGTTCATCAGGATATTGCAGAAAGAAAAACAACAAAAATCTCTAATCTCTACACAACTGATAACATTTCAAGTGAGGAAAATGGCTATGAATATGACCAATGTTCCTGAAGGACAATAACATTGAAACAGAAATTAATCAATTAATTTTAATGCAATATAAACAAAAGAAAGTTGGGAAACTTCAAGAGTGAATGGTTTAAACTTTATCATTGGCTTACCTATCACATTGATAAATGTGCTTGTCATCAGAAGGTTAGGATAAAGTAGTTA